AGAGTGGTTTAGTCACATTATCAAAGACCTGGCTTCTTTCCATCTTTCCACTCTGCCATCTTCATTGGGAAGGCTTTTGCCCTCGGCCTTGTCTTCTTTTGAGTACAGATGTCTGCAGCCACAACTCCAGAGAGAAGCCGTTACTTCTATGGAGGACAGCGTCTAGGGTGGCCTTCATGAGCCCCAGCTCTTGGCATCATCCCTTGTTGTGATATGGAACCTGTGACTTGCTTCTCATCAGTGGAATATGGCAAAGGTGATGGGCTCTCTGTGATTACACACATGTGCTCATGATACATACAATTGTAACAGCCATGTCACTAGGAGACCCTCTCTCTCCCTTGCTGGCTTTGGTGAAGCAGCTTCCATGTCGTGAGCTGCCACATGGAGAGAGTCACATGTCAGGGAACTGAGTGTGGCTTCTGCTCAGCAGCCAGTGTGACACTGAGGCCCTCAGTCTGGCAGCCTGCAAGGAACTGAATGCAGCCCACAGCCATGTGAGGCTGGAAGTGAACCCTTCCTCAGTCAAGTCTTGGATGAGACTGTGGCATTGGCTGACCCTGGGATTCCATCTCTGTGAGACCCTGAAGCAGAGGCTCCAGCTAAGCTGTCCCTGGACTCCCGATCCCTAGAAATTGTAAGATTAAAGAACCGGTGGGGCCGGGTACAGTGGCTCACGCCTGTAATCCCAGCACTTTGGGAGGCTGAGGCGGGCAGATAATGAGGTCAGATGATCAAGACCATCCTGGCTAACATGGTGAAACCCTGTCTCTACTAAAAATACAAAAAATTAGCCAGGCTTGGTGGCTCGCACCTGTAGTCCCAGCTACTCAGGAGGCTGAGGCAGGAGAATCGCTTGAACCTGGGAGGCAGAGGTTGCAGTGAGCCGAGATCACGCCATTGCACTTCAGCCTGGGTGACAGAGCGAGACTCCGTCTCAACAAAACCCAAAAACCAAAAACCCAGTCTCACATGGCCGTGGGCTGCATTCAGTTCCTTGCAGGCTGCCAGACTGAGGGCCTCAGTGTCACACTGGCTGTTGAGCAGAAGCCACACTCAGTGCAATCTTTGCTCACTGTAGCCTTCGTCTCCTGGACTCAAGCAATCCTCCTGCCTCAGCCTCCCAGGTAGCAGGGACCACAGGTGTGCACCACCACACCCAGGTAATTTTTTTTTTTTTTCATGTTTTTGTAGAGACGGGGGTTTGCCATGTTGCAAAATGGCACTCATCCCTCCCATGTTGCCCAAACTGGGAGTAATTTTTTTTCAAGAAGCTTCCCAGTCATCTTTTTGGAATTATATCATGTGGTCACTCTTAATCTAACCACTGGGAAAGGGAATAAAATTACCGAATTGGCATAAATGAATCAAGGTTTACTTCTCAAAATAAATACATAGGGAAAATAGTTAAGTGTTACTATGACAAATAGGCAAATCCAAAAACTTGTACATTTACAAGACAACTGGCCTGGTCACTTTAAATAGCCAACATCATTGAAAAAGTGAATTGGACTCTTCTGAATTTTTTAACACTAACACATTTTTTAAAAGGTACCTAACAACCAAATGCAATGGGTGGACCTTGATTGAATCTTGGTTCAAAAATCTAGCATAAAGGCTATTTCAGGAACAATTGGAGAAATTTGAACAAGGACTAGATAATTAATATTAAGGAACTATTTTAAATTTTCGTAGTTGAGACAAGTATTAAAGCTATGTGAGAGAACATTCTTATACTTTAGAAGATGTATACTGAAGTATTTAGGACTAAGGCTTCATGATTTCAACAACTTATTTTTGAATAGTTTAGCCAAAAACTATTTCAACACACACACAGAAAGATTAAAGCAAATATGGAAAAATGTTAAATGTTAATTGACTCTACATGGTGGCTATGGTTGACAGTTGTACTATTTTTTTTCCAATCTTTCTAACATTTTTGATCATAAAAATGTGGACACAGACTCACCTCCTTGGGCTGGTATCTTGGTCTATAGATTCAATGTAATCCCAATCGACATCCCAGCAAGTTATTGTGTGGATATCAACAAACTGATTCTAGGGTGGGCACAGTGGCTCACACCTGTAATCCCAGCACCATGGGAGGCTGGGGCAGGAGGATTGCTTGAGCTCAGGAGTTTGAGACCAGCCTGGGCAACACAGTGAGACCTTGTCTTTACTAAAAATAAAAAATTAGCCAGGTGTGGTGGCATGCACCTGTAGTCCCAGCTACTTGGGAGGTTGAAGTGGGAGGATCACTTGAGCCTAGGAGGTGGAGGTTACAGTAAACTATGATCATGACACTGCACTCCAAATTGGGTGACAGAGCAAGAAAATAAATAAATAAATAAATAAATAAATAAATAAATAAATAAAGTATATTAAAAAAAGAAGGCGGCCAGGCGTGGTGGCTCACGCCTGTAATCCCAGCACTTTGGGAGGCTGAGGCGGGCGGATCAGGAGGTCAGGAGATCAAGACCATCCTGGCTAACACAGTGAAAACCTGTCTCTACTGAAAATACAAAAAAGTAGCCGGGAGTGGCAGCGGGTGCCTGTAGTCCCAGCTCCTCAGGAGGCTGAGGCAGGAGAATGGCGTGAACCCGGGAGGAGGAGCTTGCAGTGAGCTGAGATCGCGCTACTGCACTCCAGCCTGGGCGACAGAGCGAGACTCCGTTTCAAAAAAAAAAAAAAAAAAAAAAAAAAAGAGGAAGAAGACCTACTAGACGTACTTCCTAGGGCTGCCTGGACAGTTTCAGGCTCACTCCATCACCATGTGCTTTTGCCTGGTAACCGACCTAAAGTCCCTGGCGTACAATCGGTCAGGGAGCTGGTGTTCTCTCATTCGCTTCATCTATGTTTTCCAGGGTCAAGCCAGCTCTCCAAGGATCTCTCAGCCAGGGCGGACAGAAACGAATACCCATGTCACTGCGTAGCCCCTGAACCTGATGGGTATGACCTGCTGGGCGGAGCTCAGCTCAGCTACCCCGAGAAGTAAACAGCGCGGAGGGAAAGATAAACACTCTAGGCTTCCCAAAAGCAATTATCATGTGTGGTTATTAGAACATTTGTATTCACTATCCCGGGGGAAGGAAGCAGAGATACAAATAAACCCAGAATTGATATTTGCCTGGGGATAAATTATATGACATTGCAGAGTGGGGAGCAGATTTTGTTTCTGGATTACTTTCTGCACAGGCAGCCATTAAAATGTACAGTTAGTCCCTGAGCGCGCATGGGCTCGGGGCCGGGAAGCCAGACTGGAGGCCGGGGGGAGTTCACGGTTTGAGGGCATAGCGCTCATAAGGAAATGGGGAAGTCAACTTTTGATTTTCTTTTGTCACGTGTTTGAGAAGAGTTTGTTACTTTCTCCAGGGCCCTGAGAGGTGATATCACCCTCCCCCCTACATGGTGTGAGCTGGCAGCCACAAGGTGGTGACTTCCATAGCAGGTCCCCTGAAGGGGAACAGACAGCGGGTGGCCCCACGGACCCGCAGGATTCTTGAGCTGCCCACGACAGCCAGTGCCTCATGTCCTCATCTAGAAGCTTCAGCTGGGTGTTTATGAGCTTAGCAGTAAAAACTTCCCTGGTGGTCTGCGGATAAGCAATGCTGGTGTCCCTTCCCTTGCACACTGGCAGTGTTCTGTTGCAAGGGCTTCAGTGCTGAGGCCATTCCTTTTTCTTGGGAAACTGTCACGGGTAGGGCGGCCATTTCTTCAGGCTTGCTGACCCCAGGCTAGCCTCACACCAGCCCAGTGGCCCCCTTCGGGGCAGTGTGGCCAGGGGGAAGATTATCTGTGGCTTTATCAGGCAGATGGTGTCTGGAATCCTCAATCTACCATCTCAGCTCTTTGACCTCGGACAAAGCTGGCCTCAACTACTCGCCCATGAGCTGGGGGTCGCTGCGGTACCTACGGCACTGGGGTGTCAGGAGGACGAAATGAGAATGTACAGAGGGTACCCAGCACACAGTGTTCGTCCAGGAAGTGGCAGCGCTCATAATTTTCTGCGCGTGAGTAGCGGTAACAAACTCCTCTTTTTCAAGAGCACACTCTATGGTTTCTAAAATCTAGGAAAGACACAAATTGCCTTTCTCAGCAGAAACCTGTGAAAACAACTCAGGGACACCCATACCATGAGACCCTTGCCCCGGCTATTTGAATAAGCACAGGTTAGAGCCTTACAGCTCTTCATCCCCAGCGTGGTACTCATCCCATGAATGGCCACGTTCTACTCGCAGGTGAAATGAACTGGTTTTAAACCATCAGCCTTACGACAATCTTGAGGACAAGAGATTTGGGACATTTCTTGGGCCACATTAGACCTGAAGCCAGCAGGTCATAGACTGAGGTCCCAAGTCAAACCCTTGCTCAGGTGGGAAACCTATGTACCTGGTTCTGGTCTGTGATCTCTCCTGGAAGCTGAGCGTCATTTGCAAGTGTGTCCGTAGGAGGTGTTGCTTTTTTTGGGGTTGTTGTTGAGGCAGAGTCTTGCTCTACTGCCCCAGAGCTGGACTGCAGTGGCACCATCTTGGCTCACTGCAACCTCCACCTCCTGGGTTCAAGCGATTCTCCTGCCTCAGCCTCCCAAGTATTTGGGATTACAGGCACGTGCCACTGCACCTGGCTAATTTTTGTATTTTTAGTAGAGATGGGGTTTCACCATATTGGCCAGGCTGGTCTTGAACTCCTGACCTCAGGTGATCCACCTGCCTCAGCCTCCCAGAGTGCTGGGATTATAGGCAGGAGCCACCACCCAGCCAGGAGGAGGTGCTCTTAATGCGTAGGACGTGTCCACTGCCTCCCGCCTCCTCTCCCCAGTGTTTTCATCCTCAGGTTGAGCCTGGAGTCTGGGTTTCACAGAAACATGGATAACAACGACATTGGTTATAGAAATAGGAGGCACCTACTCTATGTCCATCAGCGTGAGCATATAAAAACGGTTGCTTTTTTTTCTTTTCTTAGACAGTTTGCAGTATAGCTGGGGAGATAAAACATACCAGTCTCTGTAAAGATTAAATTTATTTGAATCACATAAGATTATTCAAAGCCATAGGCATGATTACGTCTCTATAGATTCGAGAAGATTTTCTGCGTGGAGAATATCTCATGGAGATTTGAAATGTGTTGCCTCTCCTGAGCAGCCAGGATTAACTCCACCTAGGAGGAGGTTTTGGATAAGGGTCAGGCTGGTGTCCTTCTTTCCTGCCTCCATGGGTTGTCACCTTCTGCTATGTCAGGGGGTCGCTGGCTTAAGATGTTGTAAGGAGCACCCCAAATGCCAGGCTTCCTGCCATAGCTGGCCCGCTACAGGGCTCACCAGCCTTGCACCGAGGTCAGCACCTCAGTCACTCCCCATTTTGTCTTTCACCATGAAAGCGTGGCTTTTAATGTAGGCCAAATGCTGTGACACCAGTATCAAGTCACAGAAGCAGCTCGTCTGTTGCCTGCTGAAGCTGAGAGGCAGTGTGGGGTTGGGGTCAGAGGGGAGGGCGGGCTCCTGGGCACTGCCCATGGGCCTCACTCCTCTGCCTCCACTCATACGGGCTCGTGTGACCAGATGGGTTTTCTCTTCTGGAGGAAGGCCGTGATGCCCTCCTGCCCGTCCCGCAGGGCCAGGTTGTCCACCATGGCCTGGGAGGTGAGGTAGTAAGCCGTCCCCAGGTCCTGGGGCAGCTGCTTGTAGAAGGTGGCTTTGCCCAGGGACACCACCGGGCGGCTCAGTGACGCGATCTTCCGCGCGATCCGCATGGTCTCCTCCTGCAGCTCTGCCTCTGGCACCACTTTGCTGAGCAGCCCGTGGAGCAGGGCCTGCTGGGCAGAAATGGGCTCCCCAGTAAAGAGCATCTCCAAGGCCACCTACGGGGAGACACAGGAGGTCACTGAGGTGCTCTCCTGTGACCCGCCCCCCCCACCTGAGTCCCGCCTCGGCTCAATGACCTGCTTCCTCAAACACCACGTCACCTGATGCCAGCCCTGATGTCTTCAGTGCCCTAACTCCTGCCTGGGAGGAGAGCGGATCTTTCCAAGAGCGAAGAAACCACACCAGCCCCAGGGGCAGTGACTGTCCCATGTTGTCTTGCTCCTGCACAGATCTGGTCACTGAGCCCTGCCACGGCTGGGGATTTCGTCTACCTCTGTTGAGGGCCGAGCACAGGATGGAATCCACATCAGCTGGGATGACCCACAGACACTGCAGCGTGGGGGTTGGGGGGGCGGAGTGGGGGTTCCAGTACCTCTCAGAACCCACTGGGGCCACTTCCCACAAGCACTTACGGGGCTGCCACCTCGGCTTGATTGGAAAGAGCAGCCCCGGCCTCCTGGAGAAGCAAGGATTTACAGACAATGTCTTCAGGGACCAGACGTAGAGCCCAGCGAGGTTTTAACTCACCAATGGGTAAGAAGTGGCAAGGAGAGGATGCCCTCTCCCCTCCTACAAGTCTCCCCTGAGGTTCCAGGGCTGGTGAAGAGCGGGGAGCCCAGCTCCCTCCCTCCCCACTGTGTCCTCTGCTTCACAGCCACTGCACCAACCAATTCAGTCACGCTACCAAGCCGGCTCCTCTAAAGTCAAATTTACAATGGAAAAGAGGGATCCCCAGGGGCACAAGGACACACAGGCAGGGGGCCTTCCCTCCCCCACCCCTCACTCAGGCTCTCACAATCCTGGTGGCATCCCTGAAGTGCCTCAAACACGCCCATGTGCAGTCACCTCAGGGTCCTCGGACTTGCTGGTCCCTCTGCCTGGAGTGACTTTTCCCTGGCTGTTCTCCTGGCACACCCCCTCATCGCAGGCCTCTAGTCCTGCGTCCCCTGTCACTGAGGTCTTCCATGGCCGCCCTGGTCCAAGTGTAAAACAAACTCTGAAGCGACCTTGCCTGGTTACATTTTAAATCATTTGCGCTTCTCTCCATTTAACACCCTGTATATTTCATGTTTGTTTATAGTACATGTCCTTTGTAGCACGTAAACTCCAGGATAGGATTTCTTTTTTTTCCCAAGATGGCGTCTCACTATATTACACAGGCTGGTCCTGAACTCCTGGCCACAAGTGATCCTCCAGCCTTGGCCTCTCAGAGTGCTAGGATTACAGGCATGAGCCACCATGCCTGGCCATTTTTTTAGTCTTCTGTTGATTTCTGTATCTCCAGCACTGGAAGACTATCTTGCACATAGCGAGCAACCTATTAAATATTTATGAGGGAGGGAAGGGAGGGAAGAAGAGAGGGAGGAAGGCAGGTAGGCAGGAAAATAGAGTACAGCACAAGTGGCAGGCTGGTTCTTCTGAGAAGAGGGCAAGGAGGTGATACAGCTTCCAGCTGGCTCTGGCTCTGGCTCTTGGGACCTGGCCTCCATGCTGTGAGGAAGCCCAAGCCACACTGAGAGGCCAGGTGCAGTGTGCTGCCAACCACCCTTTGGGGGGCCCAGCTCAGAGGCAGCCTCCACAGCCAGACACGTGAGCAAGCAGCCTTTAGATGCGTCCCCAGCTGAGGCTGCTGACCCTGTGGAGCAGAGAGAAGCCTTCCTCACTGAGCCCTGTCCAAACTGCAAATTCTGTTGTCTTTTGCTATGATACTGTGGGTGGCCTGTTGCCTGGTAATAGATAGCTGCACTAGCTAGAGACAGACACAGGAGAGGCATCAGCATGTAGAGTGGGGTTTCTCAACCCTGGTGACACTGACGTTCGGATAACTTTTTTTTGGGTGGGGGGCGGGGGGCTGTCCTGTGCATTGCAGGACGTTCTGCAGCATCGTTGACCTCCATCCTCTAGTTATCAGTAGTACCCACCCCCCACACCAAGCTGTGACAATCAAGAATGTCTCCAGGTATCGCCACATATCCCCGGGCCAATACTGCTCTCAGTTTAGAACCATGGATCTAGAAGGTTTTTAAGTCATAGGACGAGATTGGATCCCCCTGGATTGAGCTTGGGTAAAGGAGAGACCAGAAGCCTGGCCTGAGGCCCCTCCTGCCACCATGGGTGGAGATGGAGCCCACAGGCACTGGGCTGGCAACCAGGGACGGGTGATGCGGAGCCTCCTTTTCTCCTCTGTAAAGTTAAAGGCATGGACTAAATCGCCACCTCTGTTTTGGAACTGTACTGATTTTACGTTGGAGGGGGCAGGAATGTGACAGCTATGGGGGTTTCAGGGCAGACCATTTTTAGTTGACCAGGAAGAGCACTTCACGCCAAAGTGTGTCTGAAGCCCTGGTTGAACCAGGAGCTAAAAAGCAGATCCTGTTGTGAACAGCTGTGAAATAGGACCCTGCTGAAGACACCTAGCGGGTCACAGCACGGGGCCAGGAAGGTGCTCTGCTCCATCTCTGCCCGTGAACCGCGTGTCAGCTGGGATTAGAAGCCAAGGTGGAGACGGTGTCACGGCTCCTCCCAGCCACTTTCCCTCTACTGTTACAGGCGGCCCTTGGGGAACTCACAGGGACCAAATGTCAGGAAGTGGCCAAGCCTGAAAAACTGATGCAATATGAGAAAACAACAAAAGCCACCCAAGTCAACCTTATCGCTCCCTTTGTCACTTGCAATGATCAAGTCCTACATGACTTTCAGAGTTGTTAAGAATGGAGTCAGAGCTGGAAGGAGGAAAGAGTAAATCCAAAGTAGTAAATGTTCCTTCCTGGCCGGCTCAGCAGATGGACATGTATTCATCCCAGGTGGGGGACTTGTGGCCTGGGCCGGCGGTGTGTGGGTGCAGAACTGCATGGAATTCCAAATGCCCCCGATGTTTTGGGGCCAAGTCCTTTGGAGTTCAAGCTTCACAGGCGGGGCCTGGTCCCAGGCCTGCTGGGCACTGGTCCTCCTGGGACTCCCGAGCAAGCCATTTCTCACCTCTCACTTCCGCAGCCAGCAGGCTCAGGTACAAATGACTGTCACCAAGGGACACAGTGAAGAAGCCATTAACTAATGACAGCAGGGCACACTGTCACATTGAGTACAATGGAAAGGCTGGGGAAAAAAATGGTCCATCTGAGCCAGACATAAATCAGGGAAGTCACTATGAAGATTTTGCTTGCAGAAGAAAAGCTCAGGGACCTGGTTTGAGCTCAAGGGACCTGGCTGAGCCAGATGTACCCGAGTTCCAACCCCAGATCTGCCACTTACTAACCACAAGACCTTCAACTATTTAATGCCTTGGAGTTTGTTTCATCTGGAAAACAAAAATGAGCGCCTCCTGCATTGCAAGGATTAGAGATAGCAGGTGCGAGGCTCGTATAATAACAGTCCTGGGCACTCAGTAGGCACCTAGTGAATGCAATGCCTAATTTTAACACACCTAGGCCAACTACAGATGGTTCATGATCTCTAATGCTGGCTTTTAAATGGTCACCCCAGCCTTGGAATGGGGGCAATTATTTAAAGCAGAGGGGTCTTCTGGACCTCATAGGCCACTCAAGTGGCAAGAATCGTGTGCTACAGCCCACAGGGGACTCTCCCCATGTCATGTCCCTTTGCATGGGTGTGGTGTCTTAGTCCATTCAGCCTGCTGGAACACAGCACCATAGCTCAGTGGCTTATGAACAACAGACATTTGTATCTCACAGTTCTGGAGGCTGCAAAGTCCAAGGTGAGGGTGCCAGCTCCGCGACTGCTGAGGACCTGCTTCCTAGTTCATAAACAGGGCCTTCTAGCTGTGTCCTCACATGGAGAAAAAGGGTTAAGGCAGCTCTCTGGGGCTGTTTTTTTGTTTTTTGTTGTTTTTTTTTTGAGATGGAGTTTTGTTCTTGTTGCCCAGGCTGGAGTGCAATGGCACGATCTCGGCTCATTGCTACCTCCTCCTCCCGGGTTCAAGTGATTCTCCTGCTTCAACCTCCCAAGTAGCTGGGAGTACAGGTATGCGCCACCACACCCAGCTAATTTTTGTATTTTTAGTAGAGACAGGGTTTCGCCATGTTGGCCAGGTTGGTCTCGAACTACTGACCTCAGGTGATCCGCCTGCCTTGGCCTCCCACAGTGCTGGGATTACAGGCATGAGACACCACGCACAGCCTGGGAGTGTTTTTATAAAGTCACTGATCCCATTCACAAGGGCTCCATGCTCATGATCTCATCACCCCCAAAGGCCCCACCTTCCAACACCATCACCGTGGGGGTGAGGATTCAGCACAGGAATTTGGTGAGGACACAGCATTGAGACCGCAGCACACGGCATCTGTCTCCCAGGGAGTACCAGCAGCAGGGTGAAGAGCTGTGGGAGGAGCACTGTGGAAAGTCAGGTCTGAGCAGAACCCATGGGGTTCTTGTGCCACACACACGCACATGCATTCGCACTGGCACCGAGGCACCAGCAGGGTCTGTCCTGGGGCTGCCACGTGGCCGGGCTCTGAGGGAAGCACACTGGAGTGAGGGTCATGGGTCCCATCTCACGGGCCGGACACAGGACACGAGGCCCTGAAACTCCCAGGCCCTCTTGCAAACTGGGTGTGGAACTGTGATTCCTCTAAAACTGCACTCCCAACCTCTGGCCACACAAATCACTGCTAAAACACAGCTCATCTGGGGCAGGCTGGAGACCCAGCCTTTCTCCCAGGCTCTCTAACGTCGGCACCAGTTTGAGTAGCGGGCTTTAATTATCTTTCCAGCTTAGAAACTCCACTCTGTTCTCATTAGCTGATTAGGAAATCAGAGTCTGCCTGCCTCAGGAAAATGACTGTTCTGGGAGGAAGGGCTTCTCATTTCCCACGTGCTCTCCAGTGAGGCTGGCTGCTTGAGGCACTGGTTCGGGGTCTGAGCAAGGGCAGCACTGCCTGGGAACAGAGCAGCTGCGCCAGGCAGGGTGTTTTATAGGGTGCCGGGAACATGCATTATTTAGATCATGCCCAAGGAGAGAAGCTCTTTACAAATGGGGACTATTATTCATGTCCAGGCTTGGTCTGGAATAGAGACAGGCTTGATTCCATTGTTTCTGCCCATCTCCAGCACAGTCAAGCTGTGCTGACAGTCCCTGTGGCGGCCGGGAGAGGGCACTAGTGACCCACACATGTTGTCTTAGCCAGCGTGAGACAAGCCCAACTTCCTGTCCAGGCCAGTTTGCAAAAGTACCTGCTAGCTTCCCTGTAGGTGTACGAGGCACACGCACCCACCCCCAGAATACTCGGTGGGCCTGTGCATGGATGGCCATGGATGGGTTCACGTGCACGCAATCGGCAAAGACAACGGGCAGGTGGTTTGGGTCAGGTGTATTAGATTGTTATGAATCCCAGTTTCTCCTCCTAAAGCAGGCCCACACAATGAGACCTGCAAATCCAGAAACCTAACAAAGGCCTTAAATTCCAAAAGACTTTTCTTCCTACAAAACTCCCTTCATCAGTACTGTGATTTCTGCTTTTCAGTGTTGACCCCAAACCACATTCCTGAGTCATGGCTCCGAGTGGCCCAGCATTAATAAGCCCAGCGTGCAAGGACTTGTTGACAGAACTCTGAACCGCTTTCAGGCACCTGATTAGAAAAAACTGGCGAGTCTCCACTCGAGTGATTTAGAGGCCTTCTGGGGGTCAGAACATGAGAACAGAGACCAGGAACCTGAGTAGGGCCGTCCGGAGACTTTTTGCCCCATTTTCTGAGGTCTGTCCTTGGGAGGTAAAAGCTACTTTGGTTCATCTAACCGGGCGATTATGAAATGGGGTTTCTGAAGACTGGACTTCCTTGGAACGTAAGGCCTCTTTTTTGTCATATTTTCCCCTTTCTCTTCTCAAAAACTTTAAATTTTATCAATTTAAAACTTGATAAATATAGTCTAGCATTAAGTTTCTAGGGATCAAATCTAATAAGCCTTGATTTCAAAAGTTTAAGAGAGAATGGGTTCTTATCCAGACAGTAGGGCTGACTTCAAGGTTTCAAGTGCTTTACTGTGGAACCTTCCAGCATGTCAGGTGTTGAAGAGGACAAGCAGCTGTCAGCACAGCTGTCTTTTATTAAACAAAGGCCTTGTGATTTGATTTGCACAGTTATAAGGTAGTTTGTGAACAAGCTCTGACAGTCAATTTGTAATACACAAAGTAGAGTCTTAAGAAATATTTACTGAATGGGCCAGGTGTGGTGGCTCACACCTGTAATTCCAGCATTTTGGGAGGCCGAGGGGGACGGATCACTTGAGGTCAGGAGTTTGAGGCCAGCCTGGCCAACATGGTGAAACACCATCTCTACTAAAAATACAAAATTAGCCGGGCATGGTGGCACGTGCCTGTAATCCCAGTTACTATGAAGGCTGAGGCAGGAGAATCCCTTGAACATTGCAGTGAGCTGAGATTGCGCCACTGTACTCCAGCCTGGGTGACAGAGCGAGACTCCATCTCAAAAAAAAAAAAAAAAAAAAAAAAATTACTGAATGAGTTTAAGGTAAGTGTCGATCTTGACAGAGTCGAAAACATCCTCTTAGTCTGAAGATACTTTAGCCAGCCGTCACCTACTGTAGTGCGGAGCCCACTTCCAGCCCATTGTCCTAAGTGTGTGTGTTCACAGGTATCTGTCTTCTTCACAATTTCCTCACAAACACACATTTCTGCAAAAACTAACAAAGGGGCACTGCAAAAGAAAGGAATACTTCCCTAAACTTCTTGGTCCTACTACTGGATTTCCCTTGGATCTTATTTCTCTTGCGTCATAGGCATGTGAGCAACTGCTAATTTTCATAGTTGATGCTAAAGTAGATCATATACATTAGAAAGCAATAGCTTCTTTACTTGGTGTGGTCTAAGACTCTGCCCCCCTTGTTACAGATTTCCAATTAAGAACAAGGAGGCACTTTTCCTGCAACAAGAACACTGTTGGTTTACACTTGAGGAAGGTTTAGGAAATATTATTTTATGATGTTATAGGAAGGAAGAAAGTTTTGTGACGGAAACAGACTTCACTGTAGTTAACAAAACCACTTTGCAACATGGCTCCTTCTTGGGCAGATTCAACATACCACGCACAGGAGATTCAAGTTTTTGAAATGCAACCGTTGTAAACCCAAGACACTCCAAAAATCACCTACTCTAAATCCGTTCTGGAACAAGACAGACTGTTGACGAAGAGTGAGCCAGCGACACTACTATCCTAGGATACTGGCATTATGTCAGCACGCTATTCTATCTCACGGGCAACCATTCAGTGCAACAAAACTGAGTCTCAATTGCATTTCAAATAAAATTACAAAATATGTGCCATTAGGAAGACAAACAAAACCAATCGGCAAACCTCCCCAGTGGTACTGAGGGTACACATGATGGAAATGCAGTGATTTCACAAATTGACGCCCTGCGTCAGAAGCTACAGAGGACCAGGCAGGCGGTCGGCTCTTCCCCTCCTGCCATTAGAGGGAAAGTCATGGCCCATCTAGCCAGAGGCGCTCTGGGCAGAACGTCCTGATATGAAAGGCACTTTTAACAAGTGGATCTTGAATCATCGCATGCATAGGAGGAGGAACTCCAGAGAAGGCTGGGGGGCAGAGGTGGGTGGGGGAAGTTAAATTACCTTTCTAGGCACTGCTCTTGCCAAGGCAACCCCAGGGGTAGAACAGAAGAGCCCGATGTTCACCCCAGGAGTGGCAAAAGAGGACTTGTCGCTGGCCACGGCAATGTCGCAGCTGGCAACCAGTTGACAGCCGGCAGCTGTGGCCAGGCCATTGACCATGGCAATGACGGGGACAGGGTGGTTCCGGATGAGCATCATGACCTGCGGGACAAACACACCGACTTCACTTCCACCCAGAGGGAGGCACGACATCAATGTCTATTTTTTTTTTTTTTTAGACAGAGTCTCACTCTGTTGCCCAGGAAGGAGTACAGTGGTGAGATCTTAGCTCACTGCAACCTCTTCCTCCCGGGTTCAAGCGATCCTCCTGCCTCAGTCTCCTGAGTATCTGGGACTACAGGCATGGGCCACCACACCCAGCTAAATTTTTTTGGTACTTTTAGTAAAGATGGGGTTTTACTATGTTGGCCAGGCTGGTCTGGAATTCCTGACCTCAAGTGATCCACCCACCTTGGCTTCCCAAAGTGCTCAGATTACAGGCCAGTGAGCCACCATGCCTAGCCAACGCCTATCCTTTTATATGACTTTCCTGTTTCCAGAGCACTTTTCATATGCGTGAGTTTATCAGATTCTATGGAAAAAGGGTCAAAAAAGGCACAGAAAGCACTAACTCCTATTAAATATCTACCCTGGACCAGGCAGTGTCATTTGGTCTTTCTGAGAGCCTCATGGAGACGGAGCCCTATTGTACAACAAGGACACTAAGCTTGGTGGGGGCTGCTGCAGGGGGTGGCCCCAAGCTTAGCTCTTGAGAAGTGACAGACTCCCACCTGCCTTCCTGGCAAACGCGCTGAAGAATAGTGTGGATTTTTATCTCTGGGGAACAAATCAAACCCTTCAGAGACAGTTCTGTTTTCACCGTGCCTGTGTGAGGCTCTTGTGTTAAAAGTCTGAAGCTGGTATTTGGTGCTTCCTTGAAAAATTAAGGTGGAAAGGACCCTTGAAGGCAGTTTTCTTAATAATTACTTCTCAAATTACCACCATGAAGACTCTCTCAATTCTATTAAAATGGGGGCGGGGGGACTCTGCTGTCATCAAAGTAAACAAAATTCCTAAAATAGAGCCATTGGCACAGAGAGGAGAGACAGAAATGTGCTAATATGACCCCTCCAACCAATACATTTCCAGAACTTTAACTTATTTTTGCAGCTTATGTTTTCATGCCACAGAGTGTGTTGCTATGGTAACTGCAATTTCTAAAGTGCTGCTCTTTGAACCTTGGCAGGGAGAGAGAATGGGAATGAAATTTGGGTTACTTTCCCCAAGGCAGGTATTCAAAGACAAACGACCTTCATTGATTTGAAGATTCTGTCTAAGATGCTTATCTTTTATATCCATAAACATTTGATATTCGTTAGCTTTCTTCTAAAATAACCAATTATATATTTAAGGCTATGGTATCCTATCCTATAGTAGTGCTTTTTGACTTTTTTGGGGGGAGGTCTCCTTTACAGAGCCTGATAAACACTAATAACATTCCCTAGGATAAGTGAGGAAATGCATCCTCCTCATGACCAGCCTGGCCAACATCATGAAACTCTGTCTCTACTAAAAAAAAATACAAAAATTAGCTGGGCGTGGTGGCGCATGCCGGTAATCCCAGCCTACTTGGGAGGCTGAGGCAGGAGAATTGCTTGAACTTGGGAAGTGGAGGTTGCAGTGAGCTGAGCTTGTGCCATTGCACTCTAGCCTGGGTGACACAGACTCTGTCTCAAAAAAAGAAGAAGAAGAAGAAGAAGAAGAATGCACAGATAAGTAAACACCTGTACACAACACTGTTCGTGGATTTAGGGGGTTCATGCACTGTAAGGTGAGGCTGGGGATGGGCCAGCGAGTGCTCATTACCAGTGAACTGGAATGAATAACAAGGAAGAACTCCCAAGAACTTCTAAAGTGTTGCTGCAAAGAAAGAAAAGATTTTGTTTTTGTTCTGAGCGTTGCTGCATCACCCAAGGAACTGAAGTTACTGATGAAAAGCCAATTGACTGGGATTAGAGTTGAACAGTCTACCTGTCCTGTCCACCGTCTGTGAATGGCTAGGATTTCATAAAACTTGGCAGAAAAATAGGTAATACAGTATATATTCAGCATAAAAAACACATATAATTATTAATATTATTTTTTTGAAACAGAGATTTGCTCTGTCACCCAAGCTGGAGTGCGGTGGCGCGATCCTGGCTCACTGCAACCTCTGCCTCCTGGGTTCCAGTGACTCTCCTGCCTCAGCCTTCCGTGTACCTGGGGTTATAAGTGTGCACCACCATACCCAGCTAACTTTTTTGTATTTTTAGTAGAGACAGAGTTTCACCATGTTGGCCAGGTTGGTCTCAAACTCCTGACCTCAAGTGATCCGCCCGCCTTGGCCTCCCAAAGTGCTGGGATTATAGATGTGAGTCACCGCGTCCGGCCTAAAAATGCATATTCACCTTTGATCTAGGAATTCTACCTCTAAGAAATAATGTGAAATAGGTAAAAAGCTCTATGCCAAAGATGCTCGCCAAATCATTATAATAGTAAAAAAAAACTATAAATAATATAAATATACAAAATAAATAAATGGCAATGGAAACTAAACTACATCCATTGACTAGGATGCTGTATTCTCACTGAAATGAAAATTTCCAAGAGAAACACCAGCATAGCAGTCTGGAGCTTATGCAGTGGTCTGAAACCAGGCTGCCAGGGTTTGACGCTCAGTCCGTCACTTACTCACTGCGTAATCCTGGACAAGTCATTTAACCCCTGTGTTTTCACATCTGTAAAATGGGCATGGTAATAGCACCATCCTTATAGAACATGACAGTTATATAAATTAACATATCTAAAGTACTTAAAATATTACCTGGCATATAGTAAACATTCAATGCTATAATCATATTATATAATTTTATACTGTAATCTCATCTATATATGATTATTTAGAAAAACAGGTTCACATGAAAAAATGATCTAAAAGGAAATATAGCAAAATATTAATCACAGTTCTCTCTGGGAGGTATGAATATGGTATAACATAGGTAATCTTTTATTTTTCTAGACTTGCAAAACTGTTTATAAGTACTTATTACTTTCATGATTAAGACTGTGTTAGGCCGGGCACTGTGGCTCATGCCTGTAATCCCAGCACTTTGGGAAGCCGTGGGCGGATCATTTTGAGGTTAGGAGTTCGAGACCAGCCTGGTCAACATGGTGCAACTCCGTTTCTACTAAAAAAAAATAAAACCAAAAAAAGTTAGCCCGGCATGGTGGTGCATGCCTGTAGTCCCAGCTACTCGGGAGACTAAGGCAGGAGAATTGCTTGAACCCGGGAGGCAGAGGTTGCAGTGAGCCGAGATCGGGCCACTGTACTCTAGCCTGGGTGACAGAGCGAGATTCTGTCTCAAGACAAAAAAAAAAAAAAAAAAAAGACTATTTAAAATATAAAGTTAGAAAGAAGTTCAGAAAAGACAAAGAGAATTTAAATAATCAACAGGCTAGAATAATCAAACACTTGATAGTCAAAAACTGATTATACCTATTTGACCTTCCTGAATTAGGTACTGTTTTGGGTCTGCTGACTCCAAAATGTGACATAAATAGAACTCTGCCCTAACCTCCTTTAACAGCATCGCTAAGGGTTTCGCATTATTTCCCAAAGCGAGAAACCTCGTCCCATTGTCATGTGATTGACAGGGTATGAGAGGAAAGAGCACACTCTTCTCCTGAACTAGAGTTCCATCTCCAAACTTCAACAGGATATAAGCAGAGAGACAAAGAAGAAGTCTCTAATATGAGCGCCATATTCACTCATATGAGGTCATTTTCACTCTTCCAGAGTCAAGTTCTTCTCATTCTCATTCTACTCATTCTTAATTTGCCCTGCTCCTGGTTTGTATATAATTGACTATCATGCAGTACTTGTGGTCTGTAACAAATTGGTATAGTTTTTAGATGCTTAGCTAATTCAGATACCTCTCTCCTCCTTTCTAAAATCAAATTTTCTCATGCATGAACTGAACAATGAAATATCTAGCTCATCCTGTTCCAATCTACCTGTTGATTTCACTTGGAAATTGAAATCTTGCACAAGTCCATGGCACTCATATTTAGCCAACACAATGTGATTTTCTTAGAAATGGTTTAAAGAGATCAGTACACTTTCAGTCCTATTTTACTACTTTGGGGTAGGCCCTGTTTATGCACTGAGTCTTTTTCAGGAAGTCAGAGGCCTCCAAGGGTTAGGGGCTTCCAAGAAATCTGGGCTTTATCCTCTGAAGAAGGCCCGCTACCCTGTGGCCCGTGGCTACGCTGTTTAGATCCCAGTTCATGAAGTTGCCAGAGCAGGGTGATAAAAGCAGACCCTTAGGGAGGATAACAGGGCTTTACTGGTTCTCTTTGATGCTTTTCAACTTTAGCCAAACATACTGGTACTGGTAGAAAAAAACTTTTACAGCACCAAGCCTTGGCAAACCTAAGAGTGGAATGTTACATAAACATCATTAATGTAGGAAACGAAAGACCCAGGTCTGGGCTCTAACTTGCTCCCACTTCCCCATGAAGCTTCAAGTAAATTGCTTTTCCTGTTTGTCCTTCCATGGAGTGAGAAAAATAGAACCTGATCTCTTTCTGGGTTTCTGGAAGGGCAAGGAAAACAAACGGGGATGTCTTAATCATCCTCCCAATCATATCCCTATTGCTCACTTGTGTCTCGTATCATTAAATATCTGTGAAATCATTAATGACCAAATACATGAATGAATAAGTCGATGAATGAATAAAAAATTAGGTTAAACCATCTTAGAGGCAGGTTATGAAGCCGTTTTATATGTGTTGTTTCCCAAACAGATTTTCAGTTTCAGTTCGGCAGAAAGCAATTTTTTCTTATGTTTCCCTCAATGCCTTGCAGGTATTATAATAGGTGCTCAATAAACAGTCATTAGATGAACAATGTATTACTTAAAGCTGGATTCTCTATTCAATTTTTCATTACCCAAGGGGTTGATTTCATGCATTTATAAATCATCCAAAACTTTTTGTACCTCTTCTTCCTCTGTGGCTGTTGGTATTTTTCCTCCTTAATATGGTGAAAGAGGCAGAAAAGAAGCAACAACAAAGAGGTTAATTTTCCTACTTGGAGGTGGTGATTATAAAGGCTGGTTCAAAGAAGCATTTGAAAACAATTTAAAAAACCATTATTGTTATTTCACTTATTAATGTTCTTTCCCATTTAACAGAGTTGTTTTAGTTTAAATTTTTAAAAAATTGTTATAATCTTAGATTCTTCCTCTCTAAAGACACACATTTTCACCTTTTTCCTCTTACTCCAGACTTCTACACGAAGACATACTCTCACAATGCTAGACATGGCAACCATGAGTACCGTCCTATATTCCACTTTCTTTGGTACAAAACAAAATCAATAGCAAATTATGGTCGCTTCTTAAAAGTCTAAACTAGGCCGTGCACGGTGGCTCACGTCTGTAATCCCAGCACTTTGGAAGGTCGAGGTGGGAGGATCACCTGAGGTCAGGAATTTGAGACCAGCCTGGCCAACATGGTGAAACCTCATCTCTACTAAAAATACAAAAATTAGCCAGGTGTGGTGGTGCATGCCTGCTAGTCCCAGCTACTCAAGAAGCTGAGGCAGAAGAATCGCTTGAACCCGGGAGGCAGAGGTTGCAGTGAGCCAAGATTGCACCACTGCATTCCAGCTTGGGTGATAGAGAGAGACTCTGTCTGGGGAAAAAAAAAAAAAAAAAGTCTAAACCAAATAATTGCTTGGATAAAGGATCTGATGACCAAACAGTTTCCAGTTGCTCTGGGTGGTTGGGTCTCACAGATAAAATCTTATCTGTAAGCTAGAAGGCGAACTCAACATTTAATATAATGATCATTTGCAGGTTTGTACTGTCGACTGTCGTCCTGGCTTACCTTGGAACAGGTCTGAAATACTTCGGCATGGTAATCACGGCCTTGTTCCTCTGTCAGCTCCTTTAAATCATGCCCAGAAGAAAACACAGGCCCCTCAGCTGCAAATGGTTCCAATTGAGAAAAGAAAACAAAAAGATGTAAACACCCAGAGTTGGACAGTTAGTTCCCTTTCTTGTCTACTGAATAAGGTCAGCAAACTTTCACTTAGAGCAAGTTAATGGCCTAATTTTGAGAAGAATAATTCCAGTTTGATTGAAAAGTTCCAGCCAGAATTTTGTGATGAAAAATGCAAGGTGAGGCATTTTTTAGGTGCCTAGGTGTCCTAAAAGTCCTTGATGGAAAATGATAGAAATACACAATTACATAAGGAGAAGGTTCAGTTACCAAGGCAAAGGTATTTTATACAGAGCCTTTATTTGGGGACTCGCTCTGGCCTGAGTGTATTGAGTCACACAAGCTCATCAAAATCCCCCATGCCGAAGGCAGTGTCCGTGTCATTTCATCTACAAGTGGTGGCCAACCATCATGGCTGAACTGGGAGGTGAGGGTAGGGAGAGACCTCGGAAGCCTTCTGGTCTTCATTTTACAGATGAGGGATCATAGGATGTGGCTGCTATCACTGCTGTCATCAACAAGAAAATGTCATCCTACTGATGAGCTGATAACATTTTCTCATACTTCCCTTTTGTTGCTGCTGTTGTTGCTGGAGACAGAGTCTTGCTCTGTTGCCCAGGCTGGAGCGCAGAGGCATGATCTTGGCTCACTGCAACCTCTGCCTCCGGGGTTCAAGCAATTCTTGTGCCTTAGCCTCCTGAGTAGCTGGGATTACAGGCGCCTGCCACCACGCCTGGCTAATTTTTGTAGTTTTAGTAGAGATGGAGTTTTGCCACGTTGGCCAGGCTGGTCTCGAACTCTTGGCCTCAAGTGATCTGCACGCCTTGGCCTCCCAAAGTGCTGGGATTACAGGCATGAGCCACCATGCCTGGCTGTTGTAGTTACCTTGATTGATAGGCAATATTATTGTCTTTTTGTAAGTGAGGTAATTGTGTAGTTAAGAAGCTATAGTGAGACCCTGTCTCTGCAAAATAAAACCTTAAAAATTAGCCACGCACAGTGGTGGCAGTGTTGCTTGAGGCTAGGAGTTCGAGACCAGCCTGGGCAACATAGCAAGTCGCTAGCTCCACAAAAAATAAAAAATTAGCTGAGTGTAGTGGCACATACCTATAGTCCCAGCTACTCAGGGGACTGAGGCTGGAGATCACTTGAGCCCAGAAGTTTGAGGCTGCAGTGAGCTATAATCATGCCACTGCACTCCAGCCTGGGCAACACAGCAAGACTATGTGTCAAAAAAAAAAAAAAAAAGAAGTTAACTGCCTTTGCTGTATCCAGGTGACATCCCACATGGCTGCTGGATTGTACTAGTTCTAATTTCTTTTCTCTTCACCATATAAAACAGTTGAACAGTTCTGATTAACCATGGATAAGATGGTAACATTCTGCGTTTCTGCCTCCGGAAACCCTGATACTTGATTTGCCAAACAAACATAGCATCACAAAGTATCATCGTCATATTTTTTTTGTGCACACTTTAAAATGCTAATATTACTAATATTTATACCAGCCCCATCATCACAAGAAAAAATAATTCTGTAAAAATTCTTTTTGGAGCAAGCAAGCAAATGTGCAGAATATGGCATCCTTTCCAGCACCATTAAAGGCACTGCAGATATCAGTTCGCAAGCTTGGGAAGAAAAGAAAAGTCAAACCAATCAAATGCCCCAAAGGATTAGTGGTTAAACCCATTTTATAAGGTCCATGAAGAAATCAATTCTCTGACTTTGAGGCGAAAACCAGTATAGCCAAGAACAGAAATGTTTTAGTATCTAACAAAAAGGAAAAGACAGATTTTCACTGAACAGTCACCTCTGCTATACATTCTGCAGTTAATAGTGTTAGGACCAAATCACCAACTACACAGGTGTTTTCTATAATTAATGTTCTTGTAAAGGAGCTTCAAAACAATTCTCCAGTTAAATGAAGGGATGCCCCAGTTAACTAAAGACTCTCAAGAAAGCTCTTCTGGGCACTGCAGAATACTAAGGACAGATATCAGATACACACCCGAGATGATGATGACTTTCAGATCGTTGCTGTCAGCGTCATGAAGAATGTCACTCTGCAGAGATTTCAGCATTGCAAGTGACAACGCGTTCCTCTTCTTGGGATTGCTCAGGACGATGTTCCTGTGAAGCACATTTTACAATCACAGGGTCACGCACCAGTCAAAACAAGTGAGGACCCCTGCGATTCCTGTCTAATTTAGGAGCTATTTTTAAAAGACAAGAAAAGAGAACTGCTGGGGCTTAGTGCCAATTTAGAGGGTCTGTCGACTCTCTGGAGTTATAGCCAAGTCAAAACAAGAAAAAGGCGACCTGAAATGCAGGCTGAGTTTCCTCCCTCTTCCCTTGATTTGTTTCTCTTTTTCTCCATGTTTGCTGTCAGAAACATGACTGCCACAGAGAGGGCAACGCACAGCAGTTCCAAAATCAACGCCACCCAGAGAGGCTGCCAGCTTAGCATGACAGCAGCAGGCGCCGGAGAAATCTGACAAACAGTGGCTACCTTCCACTGCTTTCTTCCCATTGTTTCTTAGAAAAAAGTTAGAAAAGAAACCCAGAATGAAAATAACGCCCCAGATCTCGGCTCACTGCAACCTCCACCTCCCGGGTTGAAGCGAGTCTCCTGCTTCGGTGTTCCGAATAGCTGGGACTACAGGCGCCCACCACCATGCCCGGCTAATTTTGTATCTTTAGTAGAGATGAGGTTTCACCATGTTGGCTAGGCTGGTCTTGAACTCCTGATCTCAGGTGATCCGCTTGCCTCAGCCTCCCAAAATGTTGGGATTATAGGCAGGAGCCACCGTGTCCGACCCAATTTTTTATATTTAATTTTTGTGAGTACATATAGATGTATATATATTTATGGGGTACCTGGGATGTTTTGGCACAGGCAAGCAATGCGCAATGGTCACATCATGGAAAATGGGGTATCCATCCCCTCAAGCATTTATCCTTTGTGGATAACAAAGGATAAATCAACAATCCAATGATACTCTTTTAGTTAGTTTCAAATCTACAATTAAATTATTATTGACTATAGTCACCCTGTTGTGCTATAGAATTCTCAGCCTTATTCATTCATTCTATTTTTCTGTACCCAGTCCATCTTTTTTTTTTTTTTTTTTTGGAGATGGCGTTTCACTCTTGTTGCCCAGGCTGGAATACAATGGCATGATCTCGGCTCACTGCAACCTCTGCCTCCCGGGTTCAAGTGATTCTTTTGCCTCAGGCTCCCAAGTAGCTGGGATTGCAGGTGTGTGCCACCACACCCAGCTAATTTTTGTATTTTTAGTAGAGCTGAGGTTTCACCATGTTGGCCAGGCTGGTCTTGAACTCTTGACCTCAGGTGATCCACCCGCCTTGGCCTCCCAAAGTGCTGGGATTACAGACGTGAGCTACTGTGCCTAGGCCCATCTTTTATTATAGTGGCATCCTGTAAGTCTACAAAACAATTCATGCTGTCTGCGAATGGGATAATACATGAAGAATAAAAGTACAAGTCACACAGCAAGAGGGCTCTTCTCGACATATCCTGTCACAAAAAGCTGGTGTCCAAAGGGCCTGCTCGCTCTTTTGAGGCATCCCATGTGCTGAATAAAATAATCTGTATTGTCATCTTGCTGCCTGTACACAGAAATGTCTTATTTTTGGCTGCTATAAGAAATGTCTTATTTTGGCTGCTATAAAAAACACCAGATTGTTATTATGTATTTTATGTGTTTCCTATCAGTTTTCACCTACATGTTTCCTGCCTTCCTCAATCTTTTTTGAATCTGATATTCCTTCCGCGGTACAGCCAGCTTGGATCTTCCGTAAATAGTATTCTGTGTCATGTTTTTCTGGAAAACAACTTTGATGACTGAATTTATTTCAATAAGAATAACCACTTTCTTTGGAATACCGTTTCAAGGTTGCTGTAGTCTTCAGGTGGCTGTGCTATTCATCTTGTTGTTTCTTATAAACATTGTTCTTTCCTAAGTACAAAAATTATTTGTGCTGATTTGCTGATAGACTTCAAAACTTATATTTGGTGGGGGTGGTGGGAGAACGGCTTATAAACCTCTTCATCAAATAATGAGGGTGCTTCTTGTAGCAAATATAAAAAGTTGCCAACCCATCGGTGACATATGCTTAAACTAAATGCTAAGGTCTCAGGCAAAATTGTATAAACAGATTCCAGCCCCCAAGGCCATCGTGCACTGCGGAATCTGTTCATGTGTCCCGTTAGCTGTTTGGCTCCGACACTGTGAGTGTTCTAAACCACAGAGTCCACTCTCCAACCCAGAGGAACCAGGCTCAACTCCTCCCGCTCCACCCAAGCTCTTCTCACAGACCATCTCCTAATTGCCAGATCCAAATCCACTGGCCATCTCGATCATTCCCTCCTTCTGAAGACAGATTTCTTCTCTCCTGGTTGTTTTGTACTTCTCTGGCCGGTCCTTCTTTGCAGGGTCCAGCCCCACAGAGTCGGTGGGTTTTTCTCCCCGTGTGTGGAGATGAGAGATTGTAGGAATAAAGACACAAGACAAAGAGATAAAAGAAAAAGACAGCTGGGCCCGGGGGACCACTACCACCAAGAGGCGGAGACCGGTAGTGCCCTGAATGCCAGGCTGTGCTGTTATTTATTGGTTACAAGGCAAAAAGGGCAGGGTAAGGAGCGTGAGTCATCTCCAGTGATTGACAAGGTCACATAAATCACGTGTCCACTGGACAAGGGGCCCTTCCCTGTTTGGCAGCCGAGGTGGAGAGACAGAGAGAGAGAGAGGACACAGCCTATGCCATTATTTCTTCATATCAGAGATTTTTAGTACTTTCACTAATTTTGCTACTGCTATCTAGAACGCAGAGCCAGGTGTACAGGATGGAACATGAAGGCGGACTAGGAGTGTGACCACTGAAGCACAGCATCACAGGGAGACGGTCAGGCCTCCGGATAACTGTGGCCGGGCCTGACTGATGTCACGCCCTCCACAAGAGGTGGAGTAGAGTCTTCTCTGAACTCCTCCGGGGAAAGGGAGACTCCCTTTCCCAGTCTGCTAAGTAGCGGGTGTTTTTCCTTGACACTGACGCTACTGCTAGACCATGGTCTGTTTGGCAACGGGCATCTTCCCAGACGCTGGCATTACCGCTAGACCAAGGAGCCCTCTGGTGGCCCTGCCCGGGCATAACAGAAGGCTCATACTCTAGTCTTCTGGTCACTTCTCACTATGTCCCCTCAGCGCCTATCTCTGTATGGCTTGGTTTTTCCTAGGTTATAATTGTAGAGCAAGGATAATTATAATACTGGAATAAAGAGTAATTGCTATAAGCTAATGATTAATGATATTCATATATAATCATATCTATTATCTATATCTAGTATAACTATTCCTATTTTATGTATTTTATTACACTGGAACAGCTTGTGCCCTCAATCTCTTGCCTCGGCACCTGGGTAGCTTGACGCCCACACTTCTTGACTTCTTTCGTGGGCTACTAGCCCTCTGTTAATCCCTGAATGCCAGCCATCCTGAATTTTGTCCTCCGCACTCTTCCCAGGCAACTTCGCCAATGACCTTGACATCCACAGCCGCCTCTGAGCTGAGCTCCAGGTGCACACGTTCATCCCGATGTCCACTGGCCTTCTCCATCTAGGTGTCCTTGGGCATCCCCCCATTCTCAAACCTGCCCCTCTCGTCTCTTCCTTATTTGAGTGGTGTCACTCAGCTGCCTGAATCAGAGAAAAAGTCATTCTAGTTTTTTATCTCTTCCTGATTCAACTGGCACCAAAGCCTGTTAATAATACCTCCTAAAAAATCTCATCACTGAACCCTCCCAACGGCCATCTTGGTTCAAAACATGCGATGCCTTGCACTGAGAGCTTCACCACTATCACCTATCCGAAGAGGAAAACTTTAAGAATGAGGTTACCACCAGAGCATGTGATAAGTATCAAGGTAAGAGATGGTCCTTATAAATGCCCCCATGAGCTGTCTGAAGATCATTATTGTAAACCACGAGAAGGTCCCTGAAGTGAGGGACTGCCATGTTCTCACACAGAGAAGACGCTCAATATCTGTTCTAATGACAAAAAATAGCATTTCTATTTCTTCACAGCCAATTCCACCGAATGCAGTGGAATGACATTGCATCCAGTTTTTTTGCCATCTCTTTGGCGAGTAGAAACAGAGTAGAAACCACTTTGGGGCAGAGGGACCTCTCTGAACCCTGGTGAGACCTACTGGCCGTGTAGCCCTGAACAGGCTGTCACCTCTCTGAACTTGCTTCCTCACTGTAAAGCGGGCATAAAATTATCCACCTTGCAGGCAATTGTTAAGAATTAGGGATCATGGATGCCAGGAGACCAGCACAGAGCTGGCCCTGGGTCCATGACAGCAGTGCCGCTGGGAGGAGCATGGAAAACGGACACTTGAAGAGTGACGGGTCGCTCAAGTTCTCGCACAAGTTGACCTGCTTAGTCATAACATAGTGCTGCTTTAATGCCTGGTTAAGAAGTTTCCTTTCCTACTAAACAACCCCTAGCATTCATGCGAGAGTGTTTCAGTCACCACCTTTGCTGATTCATGTTTAATTCTGGAGAACTCGACCAGCCTCCTTTTTGTCATCTGGCCTGCCCAGAAGTCAGGCTTCCAACCAGATGTGACCAGATTTACAGAAGTGGAAACTTAGCAATGGGCAAGAAAGGCCCTGGCCTGGGCCCTGCTCTGGCCTGTGCTCCTGTAGATGATGAGCAAGGGGTCCACAGGGAAGGGAACCATCCCCTTTCTAAACTCTGGGGCCATTACTGAGACCCTGGAATTCCCTGCCCCTGCTGTAGGCACCTCAAGCCCAAAGGCGGCCAAGAGCAGTTGTTTGTAGGGCATGAGGGGACAGACAATCCGGGCATGCTGGAAAGGTGTCCCAGATCTGTGCACCCTGTCCCTTGCAGAGCAGCAGAAAGGACGGGTGCAAGGGTGGGAAAGGATGAGAGGAGGGTGAGGAGAAAAGGAAAACGCTGAAGCCAGGGGCTGGCTCTCCACCCCTGCGGGGAACCACCCGGTCATCTGATTATCAGTTCACCCGCGGCCTTCTAGGTCTTCTTCGGAAGGTAAACATCTCAGGGTAGGAGAAAACGACGTTTTATTTAACAGCTTGATTTAGAACTGAAACATGCTGAAACATGGTACTCAGGCCTCCCTCTGCACCCTTGCCCGGGCCAGGCAAGCACCCGGCTCAGGCCTGAAGTGGGCAGGGCCCTCCACCTTCATGACTCTATCGCCCAGTTTCCAGTTGGCACACAAGCACATTTTTAAGAGTTTTGGGCCTGTAGCCACAAGGGCAGCGCTCAGGACGCTGTGTCCTTAGTACTATTTACTGTCCCGCCCCCAGCCCCGCGCCTCTGGGTGAGGGCCAAGGAGCAGCTCGGCCGTGCCCACACTCCCCCTGGAGCCGGGTCTGGGGCCCAGAGTCCACCTCTCCAGACCTCTCCGCAGGCCCAGCGGCTGGAGGCCCAGTGACCCCGCAGGCGGCCGTGAGGGCTTCGGAGCCCCGGGCAGTCCCACCGACTCGCTGCCAGGCCCGGGTCCGGGACACGGGGGGTTCCCTCCCCAGGGGCGTAAACGGGGCTCCGGCTCCCCGGGTCCTCGCGGCGTCAGTGGCGGCGCCCCGACCCCGACCCGGCCCCAGCGCGAGGAGCCTGCGCGGCCCGGGGCTGACCTTATGCCGTCCAGCTGCCGCGCGCTGGTGGGCCGCGGCTCCGACTCCCGCCGCCCCGCTCCGGCCGGGTCCCGGCTGCAGAAGCGGGCGGGGTGCTGGGCCCAGGGGCCGCGCCGGAGACACATGGGCCCCCTCGCCCCGAAGGCCCGCAAGACGGCGACGGCTGCCATGGCATCCGGGACGGCCAGGCGCTGCAGGATCGCGCTGTCTGACCGGCCGCAGGTGCTGGGCGCTCTGAGGGCGCAGCTGTGAGCAGAGCCGGGACGGAACTGGACGGAACTCGACGGAACTCGGCTGTGGCCGAGACCCGGAGGGAACTGTCTGACAGGCCCAGGCTTCTCCAGGACGCCCCAGGCCAGGCACCGTCCCCACTACGCCCCGCCCCGGCACGCCCCGTCTCCACTACGCCCCGCCCCGGCACGCCCCGCCCCGGCCCGCCCCGTCTCCACTACGCCCCGCCCCGGCACGCCCCGCCCCGGCACGCCCCGTCCCCACTACGCCCCGCCCCGGCACGCCCAGTCCCCACGAGGCCCTCCCGGCTCGCCCCACCCCTCGGGGTGAAAGGCTCGCATTGAAAACCCGCAGGCCGGCTCCTGGGGTTGTTTGACAAGGCCTGTGGGGAAGTTTAAGCGAGGGGAGAAGTAGGATGATTTCTTTTAGCACCAACACCAGGAATGTGGCATTTGCCTGCATTGGGAAAACGAGCATCGGGGTGAGTGGCGCTGCACTGTTACCAATACCTGCCTAGGAAACGCCGGGGGCCTGGAGGGCTAGCACGTGGGGGGCCTGGCTGCCCCGACCTTGACTTTTTAATGCTTTATGTCCTCTCATCCAGACACTGGGGTCCACACTTTAAGCTTCTGCCACCAGGTGGCTGGAAATGGAAAGTAAGTTCATAAACAAAATAAAGTTAAATTTCTGGAACACCTGAGCCTGACCTCGCAGTCATGCCAAGTGCCACCGAAGAGGCCGAGCACGGGGGTCGCAGACCCTGATCAAAGTGACCGCCCTCAGGGCCTAGGGTTACTGCTGGTCTCTTACTAAGATGACTTTCGCTAGCTGGGAGGAGATGAGGAGGCCCCACTCCACAGGGGAGCTGGCGCAAGAGGGAACTGATACACGGGGTTTGGGGAAGACGAAGGAGCTCCGAGAGCACTCCGAACCTGGACTGCGCAGATGAAAATGGAAAGGCGGCTGGGCGCAGTGGCTCACGCCTGTAATCCCAACACGTTGGGAGGTTGAGGCAGGTGGATCACCTGAGGTCAGGAGTTCGAGAACAGCCTGACCAACATGGTGAAACCTGTCTCTACTAAAAATATAAAAAATTAGCTGGGCGTGGCTGCAGGCGCCTGTAGTCCAAGCTACTCGAGAGGCTCAGACACGAGAATCGCTTGAACCCGGGAGGCGGAGGTTGCAGTGAGCCGAGATTGTGCCACTGCACTCCAGCCTGGGCGATAGAGCGAGACTCCGTCTCAAAAAAAAAATGGAAAGGCTCAGAAGCCACTTCCACCTGCTGCTACATATGATTTAATAATAACAGGTCACTCTTTGTGGAGCCCCACTCTGCCAGTGCCTGTACCTATGCCGTCTCTTTGGATGTTTGGGGTAGTCCAGGCAGGTATCATTTTCCCAGTTCCCACTAATTTCACCAGCCCTGTTTGCACCAGGCCCAGAGTCAGGACGGGGTGGAGGTCAGATGAAGGATGGCACTGTGGATGGAGGGTACCCTCTCATCTGAAGTCCTAGGCCTGCATTCCCATTCCTTTCATGTCTGGTTCCTTCCTGGATTTCTTTCAGAGCCTGCAGCCCCAGTTTGAGCATGGTTAGCAAAGAGGGACATACAGGTGGATGGCCACCACGTTCGTTACCCAGGTAGAAGTCGATAGAACTTACTGAATCTTGAGTCCTTCCTCAAGCAGTGCAGGACTCTTTTCAAATTCAGGCTGCTTTTCAAATTCTGGCCTCCTCTGCTTCTAATTAACTTTTGTAGAGGCTGCCTTTCTTTCCTCTCTCTTGTTCACTGCCTTTCTAATCTATTTTCCACGCAGGCCTTCTCCCTGACACAATTTGATTTCCAGGTGGCTAGCAGGCTTCTCTCTGGCTTTGATTTCTCCACTTCTTTCCTGTACCACATGTCTTTGCTGCGCAGATATGTCTTTGCTACCTTTTCACATTTCCTTTAAAGACCCGCAGATGCCTGATGGAACATTGCAGAAATAATGCAGGATGAAAATACGGTTCTGGGGAGGCTGATATCTCAGGCTTGATGTGGGAATGAATGAAGGAAGGCTTAGACCTCCTCAGGGCTCAGGGAAAGAAACGTGAAGTACAGATTTTCAGCTTCTTATGGAGTGGTTTTTGAACTTCTATTTATTTATTTATTTATTTATTTATTTATTACTACTATTTTTTTATTTTAGGCCCTTCTAAGGTAGACATGTAATGACATGGTTCAGCGGTGCAATGGGGAAGACGGAGGGGCTTACTTTCAGTGAGAGCCCTGGGGCATGTAACATGATCAAATTCCAGCTTCCCACCCTCATCCTCCACTCCACATCTGTCCCCACAAGCCCCGCAAAGCCAAAGGAGGATCAAGCACCCATAAACCAGAAAGGTTTCACATTTTCATTGGTCCACACAGCTGCAGATGCTTGGCCATGTCCTGGTTTTATTATTCTGTATTTTATTAATAATCCACCAGTCATTACCCAAGTGCCTCTTGCAAACTTAAATGTCTTCACAAGGACGCGGACCTCGAGTTGGGTGAAAATTAGTTTAGAAGCTAAATGGAGGTGCGGGGGTGAAATGAACGTCCTTTGCTCCCCACTTGGCATGGAGTTTTGAGTTTACTCATATCCCTTAAACAAAACAGACTCGGCCGGGTATGGTGGCTCACACCTGTAATCCCAGCACTTTGGGAGGCTGAGGTGGGCAGATCACCTGAGGTCAGGAGTTCCAGAACAGCCTGGCCAACGTGGTGAAACCCCGCCTCTACTAAAAACACAAAAATTAGCCATGTGTCGGGGCCCGCGCCTGTAATCCCAGCTACTTGGGAGGCTGAGGCAGGAGAATCGCTTGAACCTGGGAGGCAGAGGTTGCAGTGAGCTGAGATTGCGCCACTGCACTCCAGCCTAAGTGACAGTGCAAGACTCTGTCTCAAGAAAAAAAAAAAAAATCAAAACAGTAACTTCAGGTAAGGTCTGGAAGAGCTTTGTAAACTGATGAAGAGGTATGCATTTCATGGGATCCTGGTTACAGATAACACTTTAAATGAGCTTGGAAAGTTAAAGGATGGTGATAGTGACAGTGGTAGAGACCATCCTGGGGGCAAAAAGTCGCTTGGCAGAGGAATGTTTAATGTTGGATTCATTAACTGCTGTTAAAGAAGGACAGCTGTGGGGCAGCTGCAGAACCCAGACCGCTAATCACCATTCATGGTCCCTCAATGAGGATGGAGCAGGAGACCAAGGATCAAGCCAAGTCCCAAAGCCACAGCAGGGACTGGTACCCACTCACCCCTATCTTCTACACCTCTTGCATCTGCATCTGATATGATTTAGCTCTATGTCTCCACCCAATCTCATCTTGAATTGTAGCTCCCATAATTCCCATGTGTTGTGGGAGGGACCCAGTGGGAGATAATTGAATCATGGGGACAGTTTCCCTCATACTGGTCTCATGGTAGTGAATAAGTCTCACAAGATCTGATGGTTTTATAAGGGGAAACCCCTTTTGCTTGGTTCTCATTCTCTCTTGTCTGCCGCCATGTAAGATGTGCGTTTTGCTTTCTGCCATGATCGTGAGGCCTCTCCAGCCACGTGAAATTGTGAGTCCATTAAACCTCTTTTTATTTATAAATTACCCATTCTTGGGCATATCTTCATTAGCAGCATGAAAACAGACTAATACAGCATCTTAGCTACATGCCCCACATCTCATAATAATTTTAATCCTGCAACACAAAGAGAAGGTTCAGTTACATTTCAATAATTCAGGAAGAGGCCACGCATGATGGCTTACACCTGTAATCCCAGTGCTTCAGGAGTTTCAGGAGGGAGGCTCACTTGAGGCCAGGAGTTTGAGACCAGCCTGGGCAATACAGCAAGACCCCAACTCTACAAAATACAAAAAAAATTTGCTGGGCATGGTGGCCTGTGCCTGTAATACCACTTAGTTGGGAGGCTGTGTGAGGAGGATGGCTTGAGCCCAGGAGTTTGAGGTTACAGTGAGCTGTGATTGTGCCATTGCACTCCAGCCTGGGTGACAGAGCAAGGCCTTGTCTCTAAAAAATAATAATTCAAGAAGAAAGGAAAGGTAGTTGCCTTTCTGACATTGATCAGGTTAACCTTCAATCAAATGGAACATTCTACCATTAAGAGTGATACTTGCTTGAACATTCCAGAGAGCCTCTGCAGAAGAGTTCCTGTAGTGGTGGTGGGGTGGGGAGACGGGAGGGGATTGTGCTTGACTGGAAGGAGGGGAATGACTTCATACTTGGTCAGTGAGAGAAAGGGATGGGACAGGTTCAGCTCTTGGTAGTTACTATATTACTAGGTTGATGACCTTAGCACGTTACCTCTGAGCCTGTTACCTCGTCTGTCAAATGAGAATAAAAATACTATCATTCATTTCAAAGAATATTTCTTGAGCCTATTATGTGCCAGGTACAGATCTACACACTGGGGTTATTGCAGGGACAAAAACAAGTCCTTGCTCTCAGAAGGCTTGAGTTCTAGTGCAGGGAAGCAGAAAATAAGCAGAGTGGATGATGTGTCAGATGATGACGGATGCTCTGAAGAACCATAGAGCAGGTTGGGGCAGAGGGAGGGGGATGCGACCCTATTGCAAGGTGTGGGAGTTGGGGAAGTGTTGATAAATTGATGGCTGAGCAGAGACCAGAGGAAGTGAGGGAGTGAGTCACACAAGTATCTAGGGCCAGAGCCACCCAAGCAGCAGGAAGGCGCACAGATGCCGAGAAGCAGGAGGACCCAGTAAGGTCAGGGAACAGCGAGAGGTCAGGGTGGGTGAGCAGAGGGAAGGAGGATGGGTGTTTGACCTGTTCACTCTGAGCAAGAGAGGGAACTACAGGAAGTTTTAGCAAGGGTGGGACATGACCCGACTTACGTGTTCAAATTATTCTCCTGAATGCCTTGTTAAAAATAAACTGTAGGTGGCAAAGAGCTGAAACCAAGAGACGATCTGCACGGAAATGGCACTCATCCACATGACAGTCGATGGTCTTGGATAGAGTGGCATTGGTGGGGTGCATGTGAGCAGTCGATTCCAGATATACTTTGAAGGTGGAGTGGACAGGATTTGTAGATGGATTGGGTCTAGAGTGGAAGGAGAGGAGTCAAGGATGGACTCTAAGTATTTTGACCTGAGCTACTTATTTT